TTGATGCCAGTCTAACATAAACATTAGACTCCCATTTAAATAGTCATACTATTGCAAATTGAGCAGTCAGTGTATTTAAACGTCTAGTTTGACATCTGCGTGCTTGTCACCAACCTCTGATGGTTTGGGTAATGGAAAACTGACAATAAAACGTAGTAATAAGTTGAAGCAGAGAGTTGTATTTTATTTTGCCACTGTCATCATAGAATTTATTTTCATTATTATTTCACTGCAGGGATAAATCAATGAAACTGAAATCCAGTGGAAATACTTGTTCACATGTCTCAACTCAATTTATGCTTTTCAGGGTAATTAATTAATATCAGCTAAATTAATATAATTCAAATATTTTCCTAAGACCTAGAAATAATTTATAAAATATTCAAACTACACTGTACAGTAATAGCAACATTTCAAGTACTACCCCAGTAAATGTCATAGTGAAATCATAGTGCTATTAACACGTACGGTGTGGCTGCATTTACTACAGTCAAGGCATAACTCAAAGCAGGAGAGTCGTCACCTGCACATGCAACAAACGTTCATAGCCTGTTGTTGTTTAAAAACAACCGCTGCACATGAGCTTTTACATTTTTATTGTGTGTTGTAATCGTCGCTTGTGACTTAATTCATGCGAATGCGAAGATGACTCCACCTTAATTATAAGCCAGCATTGCCTTTCCAAAAAATTTTATTTTATATTAGTACCATTTTTATCAATAATTTCAACTTATTCTTTGTAGTATTTACCAAATGTTACTATGCATGAGACATACTGACTCTGAAAGCACTTTTGAAAGCAAGCTACGCTAGAATTATAAACGATTTATTGGTAAATAAAAGTTTGACTTGAACCATATCGTATAAGCATCAATGTATTGAGTATAATTATGTATTAATAATTAATTCTCCTAAACCTGTATTACATAATTTAATCTAGATATAAATCTAGAAATAAAAATCATAAATTTCCAACAATTTTGTGAATCAGTAAAAATGCTAATACTTTTGTAAATTTAGTCCTCACAAATGCCGTTAAATCTTGAAAATTCATATGAGCTATATAATTGTGCCGCTGTTAAAGCATTATGCTGTTGATTATCCACACTTATACTACAACATACATCACTTTTAAAATTATGTTCAATTGTAAGGCCTTCCTAAGTATAATAATTACATTGAAGCACTGAACCTATATGTCACCTTGTCCAAACTATATATATAACAGATAATTACAGTTTAGCATAATAAGATACTACTGAAAATACTCGCACTATATAATACTATGTATATCATAAAAAAGCCACTAAAAATAATTGCACAAATCAGCCCAAATTGCTTATATACACAACATAGAAAAATAAATGGCGCATGAAATAAATACACTATACAATATGCTGCTCCTAAGTAATTGTCTACATCAACAACTCTTGTAGGGTGCACATATTTACAGTTTTAACAGATCAAACCAATCCACGGGAACATGAACTGAGAACTTTGAGAACAAAAAATGAGGCACTCATGTGGAGACAAACCGCAAACAAACAAACAGTAAGATGCACAAAATTTGACTGGGTCTTAACTCTTAGAGAAATATGAGCCGTTTAAAAATAAATTTAGGAATCAGTTAATGAATATTAAAACGTCAATATTTATTGCTTTTCTTCATAACCTTATATGATACAACTGCTGTTATTCTCATGCGACATCCCCCAAAAATAAGGAAAACAAGCACGAATTAAGTACTTAATCAACACTTAATCTTTGGAAAAAGATGATAGAAAAGTTAGAAAAGATTACTAATGTATGAAGCATAGTTATCTATCACTATTGTACAGTGTAAAAAAAACAGAGCATTAGAACCAGCATTAGAAGCATGCAGTTATAGACATCCAATACCAATCATAAACAAAATTTCAAAACAGTAATGTTGCAGTAATACATTAACTCATGGAATGCTCCAAATACAATAGTTTACGCACACTTTCCTAAATCAATTATTGATCACATACAATTCAAAATACTGACAAGTTTATATATCTAAGAATATAATGCCACAATTATATTAAATACATGTTGCACACTATATTCACACTGCTATCAAAGAAAGTACAATGTACATTTATCTTTCATTTCATAGTTTTTCATAAAATGTTATACTGATACTGATAAAAATTAATATTTCTAAAGATGCAATGAATTTGATATATAGATATTATTATATAAGATCTATAATATTTCACCAGGAATAATATACAATATAACAGTTGAAAATGAGGACAGAAATTAAAATGTACATGAGACGTAAAAGAGTGATGGGTGATACCATGTGTCCGCCAGGTGTCTGTCAAACCATTCATCAATCCCAGCATGGACAGCATCCATGGTGCATTGCCAATCAATCAGCATGGGGAAAGCGTCACATGAACCTTACGTGGCCTTTAATGCTATGAATGCAATACACACTGTTCAACAAAGAACCTGCTGCTACATACAGGCAGACATACACTCATACAGAGCTATTTTATATATTAATAATAGATATATAGAAACGATAGTAGCTTGTGATTATGAATTGCTAAATAGGATTATTAAACACACTGAATGATATACCTGAACATTTGGCAAGATCAGACATTATAATATATGTAAAATTTCATAAATCTATAATTTCTAATGACTGTACTAGATTGTTTTGACCCTTTTCAGTCAATTTTTCTATCTCTGAGAAATTCTGCAATATTTCAGTTGTACCCAGTGCTAATCACAGAGTACACAGTGTTCAGGTTGTACCTGATAGTGATCACAGTGAACACAGTGTTCAGGTTGTACCTGAAACTGATCACAGTGAACACAGTGTTCAGGTTGTACCTGATACTGATTAAAGTGTACACAGTGTTCAGGTTGTACCTGATACTGATCACAGTGAACACAGTGTTCAGGTTGTACCCGATACTGATCAGAGTGAACACAGTGTTCAGGTTGTACCTGATACTGATCAGAGTGAACACAGTGTTCAGGTTGTACCTGATACTGATCACAGTGAACACAGTGTTCAGGTTGTACCTGATACTGATCACAGTGAACACAGTGTTCAGGTTGTACCCGATACTGATCAGAGTGAACACAGTGTTCAGGTTGTACCTGATACTGATCACAGTGAACACAGTGTTCAGGTTGTACCCGATACTGATCAGAGTGAACACAGTGTTCAGGTTGTACCTGATACTGATCACAGTGAACACAGTGTTCAGGTTGTACCTGATACTGATCACAGTGAACACAGTGTTCAGGTTGTACCTGATACTGATCACAGTGAACACAGTGTTCAGGTTGTACTCGATACTGATCACAGTGATCACAGTGAACACAGTGTTCAGGTTATACCAGATACTGATCACAGTGAACAGAGTGTTCAGGTTGTACCTGATACTGATCACAGTGTACACAGTGTTCAGGTTGTACCCAATACTGATCACAGTGTACACAGTGTTCAGGTTGTACCTGATACTGATTACAGTGTTCACAGTGTTCAGGGTGTACCTGATACTGATTACAGGGTTCACAGTGTTAAGGTTGTACCTGATACTGATTACAGGGTACACAGTGCTCAGGTTGTACCTGATACTGATCACAGTGAACACAA